CCGAAGTACCTTTTTTAGGGACTACTCCAAGGCCAAAGTAAGTACTATTTCGGCACATGGACCCTGAGGGAAAGAAGCACACCCAATTTGTCAGGGCTTTCCCGTTAACCCCTAAACCCCTTAAACCCCTAAACCCCTAAACCCTAAACCCCTAAACCCTAAACCTACACCCTAAACCTAAACCCCTAGCCCCTAAACCCTAAACCCCAAACCCCTAAACCCTAAACCCCAAAACCCATTGGCTTTGGAGATAGTTGGAGCCTTTTCGGATTGTCCAAGTCGTTACTAATCCGGGAGGTTTCTTTCAAAGGTTTGGGGGTTTGGAGTTTAGGGTTCAGGGCTTACCGTCACATTTACGGGTTTAGGAGTTTAGGGGTTTAGGGTTTCGGAGTTCAGTGTTTATATAGGGGGTTCAGGAGTTTAGGATTTAGGGTTTAGTCTCTGGGCCTTAGCAACCACAAGGGACAAGAACCTGCAGATGGATCCCTGAAATGCACGCTGAGTCCTGCATAATTCCCACATCCCAACCCTGGGAAAATCATTGATCCTAAGGTCTAGGGTGATTCAGGAACATGGCAAACCCTCTTGCACCATATACTTCTGTGCTATGTGTTTTCGGGTGCTCCTTACGTAGATCTTCCAAGATACCTGCCATAAATTGAATCATACTGCTTATGGGAATCATGGTATATTCCTTATTATGGGTAATGCAAGATTTATATCCTTAACCGTATTCCTCAGACAACGGATGTTGGAAGATCTGGGTAAATAGTGGGCTTCCCCGGCACCGAGTTGGCTGCAGGCGCCTGGAGCAAAAACCTCGTTCGGCAATCCAGGGACTTGTCCTGTGATTTCCCAAAGGGTCCAAGTAGTCCTTATTTATGGCTTTTTGTACCCGAAAAGGCCACAAAGTCCTTAAATAATGAGTACTTGTGGACCCTTGGGGCTTGTTCATAGGATTTGGAGCTTACTCGGCGTTTGGGCTCCTGTTGGGTGGGGGAGCTGCGTTTGAAACTTGGGCGGAAGCTTTGTTAAATGAAACTACCGGTGGGGAGTCTAGGGTATATAGGGCTTCTGTAAGGCTTCTATAAGGTATGCAGACCTTCTATAAGGCTCCTATAATGGGAACTACACACCTGAAAAAGTTCCAGATATTGTACCCTGAGCTCGGCAGGAGCTTTGTATATAGAGCTCTGAAATGATGGAAGCGTTATCACCCTACAGTCCCCACATAGTTTGACTATGAAATAGCCTAAAGCCTAAACCCTATAAACCCTCTAGGCCCAAATTAATTCCCATAACTCTGTGCTTCTTCTCCACCTAGAACCCGCTTACCCTCAATACACTCTCTTAAGTGCCATAGGTGCTCCACTAGGAGGCACTTCGGGGGTCCTGGTAAGCCTATGGTAGGTTCGAGGTGTGGGTAATGAAGGGGCGTGAATATATTTAGAATGAGGTTTTGGTGTATACTATCCCCAAAAGGGTCCAAAGTACCTGTACCCTAAACCCTAAACCCTAAACCTCAGAGGAACTACAAGGGTATATTCCTACGTAGTATTATTCCGACCTGGATCCGGGTTGCTTTTGTCGGAGTCGGTGCCACGGCGGTTCTCATAGAGCGGCCTAGGCTTAACTATCTAGCAATGACGGTTTAGGGTTTAGGGTTGCTATCGATAAGACTGACAACGGTAAAAGCAATGGTAGTAGTGCTGATAGGACAAATAGTATTCAATAACGACAGGAATAGTAATAATAGCAGTGGAAGACATACTATACTAGCAACCGTGATCATGTAGTCCTACGACCAACCTTAAATCCTCAATCTTAGCGTCACGCAGCATTTCCGAGTTGTCGACTTCCAGATTCGAGTAAGCCAAAGGGTCCTAGGTAGTGTGATGGGGGATACTTTCCCAAAGCATAATAAGGATTCCTAATATAGAAACCCTACATTCTACCATACAGGTACTTTGACCCCTTTGAGAAAATGGCTTCACCGACTTCCCCACAGAAGCCATCCCGCTGTCCGACGCAGAATTCGGGCTTGTACTTGCCGCCCAAATGCAAATCGGGAAATATACGGTTGATGATAGAAATCCTGCATTACTCACAATACGGAATACATAAATCCCATAGTTTAGGGTCCTTAAGGTGATGCAGGATTTATACCATCAACAGTATTATAGCCCTAAAGCCTAAACCCTTGTAGCCGAAGTCCAGGACCTTTCATGGAACATTGTAAATATCACCTACGCAACCAAATCTCCAAACCCTTCTTCGAAAGGGCTTGGGGGGGGGTCCTTTGTCAGCTTTTCCATTTTCTTGAAGACCTTCTCGAGGGCATCATGATGCCTGGAGCTGTAGTCGTGGTGTAGTGAGGCCAGGTGTGTGCACGAGCAAAGAACATGCAGCAGCTTAGAGCCGATGGTTGAATCCCATTGCAGGCATAGAGTTCATAGGGTTTCACGTTTACATACATGTTGGGTTGTCCGGAAGCGCGTGTGCTTTGCGAGTCCGGAAGAAAGGGAAGCTAGGGCGGCGTCCGGGGTTTCTGGAACGGGGCAAGCTTACTTGGAGGTTCATGGGTAGTTATAAGTAGGGAAATGAATCCCTTGATATGGGTTATTGTAACCCCACTTATTACTACCCACGAACCTCCAAGTAGGGGGGTCCTAACAGGTCTGGCAGTAGGCTTTGATGGTAAGATACACATACCCCAGAACATCCGAAGGTCATTGTAGGGCATCAGGGAGTCATGGCCAAATCGCAAAGCTTTGAGGGTCCATGTGCCCAAATAGGATATGCCTTGGCCTTTAAAGTAGTCCCTATACAGGTATTTTGGGGCCAAAGTCTATACTATTTGGGTACATGGACCCTTTGGGCAAGGACAGATCCATGATTGTTTGCGAATGTTCTGGTGGGTACTTTGGTGATACTTCGGAGGAATGAGTACTAGGCACGCAGTCCGTGTTTTGCTGCCGTGGTTCCTGCAATATGCACGAGAACTGTCCCAGGTTATCCCTGAAGCAGCCATCCTCTCCCTGAGGACAAGAAACATAATGTAGGGGCCTGAATAATGAGAATAGGGTTTTGGGGCCCATTCTACTATAATCATACTAAGGAACCCCCAAAATAGTATAGGTAATTATTGAGGCCCAAGCCTCGCACCCTGAAGCCCCACGCTGATGTGACTCTTTTCGGCTATTTCCGGTGGAGAAAGGGCTTCTCGCAGCATAGGGCGAGCTTTAAACGCTTCATCACGTGCAGTTTGGCAGGAAAATGCTTCCACTATACAATGGAGCTGCGTACCCCAGAGGGTCCATATCAACATGTACTACCACTCATGGAGTAGGTCCCAAACACCATCCTTATTTTGGTGTCAAGGACCTAGTTCAATAATGGTAGTCCATATGGACGCTCTTGGTACTGGCGGCATGGCATGGTTGGAAAGAAAGGTTTTGCAGCGGAGTTGACGACGTCGCTTAGATTTTAGGGTTTCAAGGATTAGGGTTTC